GATTGATTGACCCAAGGCTCATTTATAAATAATAAATTATATTTTAATTTAAGAGCACCATTAACTTCATATCAAATATATATCTTAATTACAATACGACTAAATAATATTTGTAATATGATAATTTTTAAATCTTCAATCTAGAATGAAATTCAGTAGTTGTGAAATCGCCAAGTTATAATGTTGCCCCTTCAAAAACTGAGTTCCATGATATTGATATTTCATATTCTTTACATACATATAAATTTTTCTTTTTTGTTTTTTGGCTGGTTTCTTTATAAAGTTATTTTAATACAATGCGTCCCATGATGAATACCTTATTTTTAACTTTGGTGGTGCCTGATGACAGAACAGAAGGCAGTTTATGATGGGACATCGGGACTAGTACAGAACGCTCACGTTCTATGTTAAACCCAAACATTTATAATATAAAATAAATTAGATTTTAATGAAATTTATTCGACAGTCTCAAATAGATTAATCCAACGATCACTGACATCTCTTTTAAAATAATTCATATTGAATTCTCTCTCCCCTTCCAAAAAAATTCATCACTTCTCACTTACGTTACATCGTATTTTCAGGCACAAACTACACTTGGTTTATTTCTACTATTTGATTCTTTATGATATACATTTGCTAGTTATTCTTTGTGTTTGAAGGCATGCAGTACTAAAATAATGGTCAATAAAATTATATTTGTATTCACACCTAAAATTAAATCACAAACGTAAAGGAGAGTGAAAAGAATTTAAATACCGGTTGTAATACAAGTGAGTGGTGGTAGGAGACGATGGTGACTGTGGTGTGTGATGACAACCATGGTGATGGTGGCAACCGTTCGTGACGATGGTAATGGTGGTGGTGAATTTTGGGTGACAGATGGTGATAGTAATAGTCATGGGTGACAGCGGTGGTGGTGGGTGTGGGTGGCACGCGTTAGGCGACAGTGATAATAATGGGGTGATGATGATGATGATGGATTGTAGCGGTGGACAACGACGAGTGCTTTTGGGCGATAGTTTGATGAATGATAGCGAATGACAATGGTGGTAAGTGTGGTGGGAGGTGGGTGGCGAATGGCAGTTGTGGTAGGTGACGAGTGGTGATGGTGGTGGGGCGATAGAGGTGTTGGCAGCGACGGTTCTAAACATTATTTTATTTTTAAAGTACTTATATGAAATCATAAGTTCTAAATGTATTTTTAAAAAGTTATCTCAAACATGCTCTTAAGAATTTATTGTTATTATTAAATTTGGAGTATTAATATTAACCGTTGATTAATTTTAAAATAAAATTTAAAGAGATCTTAACCACGAAATATAAAAATTATTTATTTATCTTTTGAGATTTGAATTGTATTATATTTTATTATATAGATATTTATTTATTCTACTAATTAGCAGTTAGGCAGGTTGTATTGTCCAACTATGGAATGACTATAGTACCCACTACTACTTTTTTTTTTTCCAATTGACCACTTACAACCATTTCTAATATTTTCCTCAACCACATTTAACTAACTAATTGAGTTTTCTATTTTTTAATATTTGCATATATGCATAGGGGTATGGTGTCTACACAACCCCTAATTAGAAATAAATGTCTCTACACTGAGACCGGGGGCAACAGTTTGACACAATTTGCAGTGAGCTCTGAACAAACTCTGTTAGGATGCATACAATTTTGAAAGTAGATGCTGATAAGATATAGAATTTTAAATCTTCATGACGAGGAAAAAAGGTTCGTGGGCTCATTGGAATCATAGGATAATATCATATTAGTTGTTCTTTTCCAGTTTTCCAGCATCTAGTGCAGTTAAAAGCTGCTCTAGTTGTGGCTCAACCTAGATATGGACATTCTAATTTGGTGCAAGTTGCATAACTCACTCGATTCTCATTTGGACATTGCAATAATATTAACAGATCATGACGAAATTTGATTAAACCATGAATCAATCAATTCATAAAGAATGGTTATGGTAATACTTAATGCGATCAAAACTAACATATTGTACTCATTGTAGGGGACGAAATTAAAACTAAAGACGACCCATGTGACGCAAGAAATTTGTAACGTATGTTCACATTTATTTCATCCATACTTTCATCTTACCATGTTTGAGAAATTATTTATTAATGAATTTAACTAAGTTTTTAAAGTAATATATTTTAAAATAAACTTGAAAAACGCTTTCAATCTAACGATTGTAATTTTCAGTTACATTGCGAAATTATACGCCTTATCTCATGCGGGCGAAGAAGTAACTGCAAGAGATGGTTAGTATGCATAAGAGCAGCACCAAAGCCCTCTCTGCATGGTATTTTCATGCATTTGATCTTTTTTCAATCCTGCCCCAATCGAAATTCTGTATAGATAAGAAGAAGTCATGAACGAATATATCAAATGTGCCAAGAACTAGCGCNTTCTTAGCATTGCTTTGTTTTTCTCTCTTTTCCTATCAACGAGTTTTAACCTTTTTATTCAAATTTTTTAGTTCGTACCAAACTGCTTGTAGAATCAAATCCTCTTCCACGAGATCCTATATCAGTTATATATCTTCCTTGCATTTATGCCAGAGACATTGTGACACTCTGGAACCAAACAAGAATTATCCTTCTTCACTTTTGATCTTGATTTGAGTTATTTACAACCGTTGGCCATTGAAATAATAAATTAATAATAGCTTTTTATATGTCATCTTGTGGTTGGAAGAAAAAAGAAGACACCCGTTTTTTGGATGAGAGAGATATCATATAGATGATATGTGATAATCAAATTTGGGAAATATAGTTTTNACGAAGAATCACTATCCGTGCACTTTTCGGAAATGACGAAAATAAACTTCAGTGTTACGAAAACGATAATATCTTACGATTTGAAGATCTTCGCGGAGATGAATACGAAAATCCTCTGCGAATGGGGTGGAGAATGTAAAGGGGACCTAATCTCCTAAAGCCACTCATTAGGGATAAATACCGGCCAAATGGGTTTGTTTGCTACTTTTATATATATATATATATAATAGAGCCATTATTCTTGGCTAGCATAGAAGTCTCGTGAGGATAAAAGAGATACATTTCTGGTACTAGTGGTATTGGATAAGTTTTCAGGAAAGAATTTTTTTCTTATTTCTGCCTTTCTTTCCCATGACGACTAAAAACAGGCAAATCAAAATAATATCTCAAAATGAGGAGGCCATAGAGAAACTTTTTTTTATTCCTTTGTCTCAAACTTCATCAAGAACTACATTCTATCTCTCCCTCGTTACGAACAAAAAAATGGGGCTGCGTCTCAGTTGTACACTCATTTCATCCTACGAACTCTTGTTGATTTTGAACTCCGTTCGCAAAGGAATCGGACTTTTGATGGGTCAACCCTTTTTTATGCGTCGTTTTACCCTAAAAGAAAATTGAGCTTTGTTCCTATAGGTGCTTGGCGTTCCCATGGTTCGAGAGAAGGAAAAAGGACTCATCATTTGTTGCATTTGACACGAGATAATAGAGAGAGAGCTTTGTCTATCGATGAACAGCGGATTGACGGAGCTCTTAGCATTGCTTTGTTTTTCTCTCTTTTCCTATCAACGAGTTTTAACCTTTTTATTCAAATTTTTTAGTTCATACCAAACTGCTTGTAGAATCAAATCCTCTTCCACGAGATCCTATATCAGTTATATATCTTCCTTGCATTTATGCCAGAGACATTGTGACACTCTGGAACCAAACAAGAATTATCCTTCTTCACTTTTGATCTTGATTTGAGTTATTTACAACCGTTGGCCATTGAAATAATAAATTAATAATAGCTTTTTATATGTCATCTTGTGGTTGGAAGAAAAAAGAAGACACCCGTTTTTTGGATGAGAGAGATATCATATAGATGATATGTGATAATCAAATTTGGGAAATATAGTTTTATCCCATATATATATATATACCACATTCGACGGCTTTCTGCAAGCATAACTATCTGCTTTTCAGTATTTGTAATNCTCTTAGCATTGCTTTGTTTTTCTCTCTTTTCCTATCAACGAGTTTTAACCTTTTTATTCAAATTTTTTAGTTCATACCAAACTGCTTGTAGAATCAAATCCTCTTCCACGAGATCCTATATCAGTTATATATCTTCCTTGCATTTATGCCAGAGACATTGTGACACTCTGGAACCAAACAAGAATTATCCTTCTTCACTTTTGATCTTGATTTGAGTTATTTACAACCGTTGGCCATTGAAATAATAAATTAATAATAGCTTTTTATATGTCATCTTGTGGTTGGAAGAAAAAAGAAGACACCCGTTTTTTGGATGAGAGAGATATCATATAGATGATATGTGATAATCAAATTTGGGAAATATAGTTTTATCCCATATATATATATATATATAGATACCACATTCGACGGCTTTCTGCAAGCATAACTATCTGCTTTTCAGTATTTGTAATTTTTAAAGGAACAGTGTCTTGGGGGGTTCCTCCACACTACCTCACTCTTTGTTAGTGTAATAAATCTACAGCATATATAGCCCATGGCCTGCGGCCTAACCCGAGGTAGCCCAATGGTCTAGCAGGCTATAAGCCAGCCCAAGTCCAACCCATCACATGAAGATCCGTTGACAATCCAACTGGTAGGATNCAAATCTACAGCATATATAGCCCATGGCCCGCGGCCTAACCCGAGGTAGCCCAATGGTCTAGCAGGCTATACGCCAGCCCAAGTCCAACCCATCACATGAAGATCCGTTGACAATCCAACTGGTAGGATCATGGGCCTTTCTTTTGACCCACCTCGGCCTTATCAGATGGACTGGCTATTTTGCAGCCTATGGCCCCATCTTGATGATGCTAAGCTAGCAACTTTCAGGAATATGAATTGTAACAAAACAACAATTAATATGGGTCCTAGTATTGGCTTGGTCCCCATACATACGGATGAGTAATTGAAATATTACTTCAATTACCCAGCTTTTTGTGTATTTACACTCTTCATGTCTCCAGAAACAGAGAATATTGAATTATTATTTAGAAATGCCATGGAAGGAATAAACCCTCAATTGTCAACACACCGATGTGTCTTATTAACATAATATTATACAAGCACATGCAAAATTGCATATATAAGCTAACTAAAAATCCATAAAAAGTACAAATTAAAGTGATTTGTTACATAACACAGCAAGCATGAGGGTTCTCATCACTGAAAATTTGAGGGGTATAAGCATACTCCATGTAGTATGTAGCAGCAGGCCAATATTCGCTTTTCTTGATGTCTGTCTTCTTATCTTCTCCTTCTTCCTTGCTTGCTGCTTCGCCTTCTTTCTTTTCACCTTCTTTCTCATCCTTTTTTTCATCTTCTTTCTTCTCTTCTTCCTTCTTTTCTTCTTCCTTCACAATTGAAGCTTGCTTTCCTGTTCTCTTGTACACATCACTTACCAGCTTTTCAGGATCGATAACACCTTTCACAACTACCTGGTCGTTTGCTAGGTCTGTTGTCACAGATTCTACACCTACAATAATACATTCTAACACCCTCAAAGTGCATTCCAAGCATCTGTTAATTAACTTGAACTGGAAATTATGTATTTGGCACATGACTGTAGAAATTTTTTGAACTTTGGCAATGGACAACACTGTTTGGTTGGACTTATGAAAAATAGTAAGCAATGTGCATTGGAATTGTGTCTGATTCTAGTACTCTATTTAGAGGGATTCGCAAACAAAAAGCCTACCCTAATTGTCAGTGTTTATAGAAGTAATATCTATGTAGATAAGAACAAGGGTATACCTTGAACTTTTCGGATTTGCTTCTGCAAACCTTGAGCACATGCTTCACAATGCATTCGAACTTTCAACACAACTGTTATAACAGCAGGAGGCTGCCACCAGTAAAAACATTAAGAGAACGATTGCATTATTTATTAATTCAATCAGCTATACACCTGTTGACTATATAGACAATTTCATGCCAAAATTATACTAAGCAAAATAGCCACCAAAATATCTGTCAGGGTCATAATCTATAACTATTTTTTTTAACTAACATATCCATAACTAGCTGCAGGTTTATTGTAATACACATTGTTGATTGATGTCTTCTTTGGAATTTGTTAGATTTCTTAATTTCACGATAAGAGATGTCCTTCTTTCACGAGTGGTTTTGTGAAAAATCTAGCGCACAAGACCCCCTCAATTGTAAAGGTCTCATGGTCTATGGAGGATTAGAAGAATGTAAACCTAATTCACGTTGTTTAAGCTTTAATAACACAAAAGGTTTGCATGTCTATCATGGCTCCGTTTGGTCATTCCACACCATTGAAGTATGCAATAGTCTAATATATCTTTCATTAACTTTAAAAGCAGCAAGTATCCTATAAGGGTAAAAAGTAAAAATTTTTGCTTCCATGTCTTGATGTTCTTGTACGATGGTTTTCGTTTGTTTGTGTGGGTAAGTTGAGATGAGTTCCGTGAGGCCCTTGACCACCCCATATGGATTCAGAGCAGTACCTCAACCTGTGGAGCAGTGGGGTCAAGCCTCTAAAGGCTCATGACTCATCTCTTGTCCTTGTAAAATGTGCCACTGGTGTGGTAGGTGTCCCTTTGCAAATGTTATCTTGTTCTTTTGCTTTCATGTCAGAATGGATATCAAATAGCAGTCACAAGTTGCACTGCCCAGGCAGAAAGATGAAGCTGTTGTCTACCCAAAACGCCAAACCAGAAATAATATCAACTATATCTGTATATTTTGGCCCACCCACGCACCTAGAATTAAAAGTTAAACAGATATCTGTTATACCACACATGGTCTAGGCTACATGTTTCAAAACTTTGGTACAAAATCAGTGGATTTTAATTTAACCTTAGTAGGTTAGAATGATAAATATGAACCCAAATCTAATTAAGCATGATATGAACCTGACCATCATAAATTTAGTTTGCGTAAACCAAATTTTAGTATGACATTGGTTGAACATGATACGAATTCCTCACAACACAACCATTGACAGCCACCCTAATGATGATCAGTGTACATTCTATTTTCTTACAATTGTTACCGCCATATCATGCTAAATGATGACTAAGAGTTGTGGTATCAGTATGGATGGAAATATATATATATATGTAGAGTAGTGTACCTCCTCTTTCTTCTCTTCTTTGGGTTCTTTAATTTCTTCCTTATTCTGCTCCTCGGGTGGCTTGGGTAAAGGTGAAATGAGCTCCACTTTTCGACCACTTTTCTTTTGAATCCTCTCGCACACCTTTATTGGGTCTGCAGTCTTGCCTTTAACCACCACTTTGCTGGCCTTGCAATCCGCCGTTACATCCTCCACTCCTGCTTTAAAGTTATCAAAAAAAGTAATAATAATTAATAACAAGTTAAAGAAAATTACATCACCTTTTCATTTCTTAGGACTTTTTTAACTTTTTTTATTTTTCGCACAATTCATCTTTTATTTTATTGTGAGGACTTGGATAGTTATAATACTCTCAAAAAATGAGCAGATGGAGAAAATGTTAAAATAGCCATATTTAAGGTACAGATAATTAAGAATTAAGCACTGTTCAATTGAGAAACGTGCTAAACATGAAGTATTAAAGGAGAGCTATTTAGCAATGTTATTATATATATAAACTTACTTTGAGATTCAATTGGATGCCTAATTGAGGATTTAATTCATTGCAATCACTGAATTTGTTACGAGTTTTAATGTTGGATTGATGAAAGTCGGAACACACGTATTGCTAAAAGGTATAAATGATTACATCGTCAAACTATGCTAAGTGCAAATAGCATTTTTCGGTAGCTATTTCTTCTAACCTTGGTTGTCAATCTTAGTTTACTCTAGTCTCTCTCTCTCACACACACACTCTGAAGCACATTTGGAGACCAAGTGATCCAAAGTTCAGATAGGGTGGAATTTCAATACGTATAATTAGTTGAAGGTGAAGAGTGGAGATGTCTGTTCAAAAAAAAAAATAAAGAGTGGAGATATGACCTTGGAATCCTCTCAAGGCTCTTGCAACCTTTCTGGCACAAGCCTCACAATGCATATCAACCTTGAGCACAATCTCTTGAGCCTCTTCTTCCTTCTTTTCCTCTTTACCTCCTTCTTTCTTCTCCTCCTCCTTGCTTCCTTCCTCTTTCTTCTCCTTTATAAAACACCACAAAACATTAATTAAAACTTCCAACAGAAACTCAAACAAGGCATGAACTGTTGAAAAATTCCGTAAATAATTAAGCATATCAAAGGAAAGAACAAATTTGAAGACATTTGACAATGAAATAAAGGAAGAAATTAATATTGAAAACTTCAGATTAAGCAAAGAAGTGATGACCCTAATACGAACGTACACTCCATGAAGAAAACACACAGTTTTTATGTCTGAGAAAATTGCACTTACTTCAACCATGTTTTCCAAAGCTCTCGGCTATGCTTCCTCCGATATTCAATATGCAAGTACAAGATGGTATGCAACAAATAAAGGCCTCTCTGTCTCTCTCTCTCTCTCTCTCTCTTTCTCTCGTCGGGGCAGGTAATACTGCAGACGTGCAATTGTTTGATGCAGCTACACAAACGTCCTTTAGTTGAGTCAGCATCTAATAATTTGCACCACATAGTACTGTTCCTGAATTATTAAAAGAATATGACAGCACACTCATTTTAATTTTTCTTCATTTTTCATGGGTCTTAAAAGGATCTTTTATATCTATATATATATATATATAAAACGTGTCTGAAGTCACACTGCAACTAAAAAAAATTGAACATTAAATTTGAACGCAAAATAATCAAGCACTGAACTCGAACACGTATTAAACTGAAAGTATAAACTCGCCTTATATCACGTGTCTGAAGGCACTGTACATAATTCTTAAATACGAAATAATCAAACAATGAATATAAACATGTATTTAGTTGAAAATTGTTTAGTTATTTTTAATGTCATGACTTTAGTGAAATAAAAAAGGTCAAAATGTGGATACTCTGTTAAATTTTTGACAGAGTATTTTCTGAAAATATGATGCCACAAATATATCAACTTGTCTACAAAACTAATATATTTTATAATCATAATTAAATCTTGTCATATGCATACTGAAATCCAACTATGTACCAATTGCCACAACACCATTCTTCCTACACAAACGACTATATCAATTTTTTTTTTGGATCAATAGTCATGGTCTTCGGGTCAGTTTATGCTCATTTTGACTAATCTTCTCTCAGATCTGATCAAAGTCATGATATGCATGCCAAGACTAGGGTATTAATGAGATATAAATTCCCATGACCTGATTCCAAAAAATTCTAATGAAGAAAGTCTCTCTCTTTTTTTTCCTTTGTTCTTTTATGGGGAATCAAGACTTCTTTTAATTTTGGGGTAAAATATATAATAACTAGTTATTGTCTGTGCCTAAAGGTACAAAATAATAAAAAATAGTAAAGAATAAATATATTTTTATTTATATTCAAAATCAAATCATAAATATAGAAAAGAGATAAAAGAATTTAAGTATCAGCTTGTAGTGGGGGTGAGAGGTGGTGGGCAGCAGTGATGGTGATAGGAGACAATGATGGTTGTGGTGGGTGGCAATGATCGTGGTGGCTGTGAGGGCAGCAGTTATGGTGGTGGGGGCCACGGTAATGATGGTTGTGACAGCGGCGACGATGGTGGTGGTGGTGGCGACGACGACGGTGGTGGTGGTGGTGGCGACGATGACGATGGTGGTAACGACAACGACGGTGGTGGTGACGATGACGGCGACGACGGTGGTGGTGGTGGTGGCGGTGACGGCGACAGAGATGATGGCGGTGGTGGTGGTAGAGGTAGTGGTGGGGGCGGTTTCAAACACTATTTTTAAAAAAAAAATATTTATGAAAAATAATTTTTAGAAATNCGATGACGGCGACGACGGTGGTGGTGGAGGCGGTGGTGGTGGTGGCGGTGACGACAACAGAGATGATGGCGGTGGTGGTAGAGGTAGTGGTGGGGGCGGTTTCAAACACTATTTTTAAAAAAAAAATATTTATGAAAAATAATTTTTAGAAATATTTTTAAAAAGTCACTTCAAACACACCGTTAGAGACCTATTTTTCCTATTAAATTTAGGGTATTAATATTAGCCATTAGATTAACTTTAAAATAAAATTTAAAGTGATCTTAACTGCGAATAGTAAAAATTATTTTGTTTATCTTTTGAGATTTGAATTATAAACTATTTTATTATANCTTAACTGCGAATAGTAAAAGTCATTTTGTTTATCTTTTGAGATTTGAATTATAAACTACTTTATTATATAGATAGTTTGTAGGTCACTTTGGTGTTTTTATTCTTTTAATTTTGTCGTTTCAATCTTTTATTATTTTAATCTAAATAAAAATGACAATTTAAATTGACAAACAGAGAGATATTCACGGATGTCTAAAGTGTTCAGATGTGAGGGGTCATTTGGTCCCTCAAATTTGGAACTTGGTTCATTCTAGTTCAAATAATGTCCTTCAAGTGTGGTAATGTGAGGTGCACATGACCATCTCTACTTAAATTGTCATTTTTGATAGAACCAAAGTGACACATGATTAAAAATTGAGGGACTAAAATAATACAATTAAATCAAAAAAACACAAATACATATCTAAGGAATATTACTATAACTTGCCCCAACTCCTGAAAACACTTGCAAATGTCATACGAATTGTTTATCAATACAAGCTGGCATGGAATTATATATAAAGCTTCAATCCTATCTCTAAGGTGCATCTTCGATTTGTCTATGGCATCTTGGAAACGTACTATTCAAGTAAAGTATGAGGGGACTTAAATGGTATATATGGTTCTTTAGATTTTTTTAAAAGGTTACATTCACCTTGAGAGGAGTAAAAATACCTATATTTCTAATTAATAGTTTTATTTTGAGAAGACCTTGACCTTCTTTGTAAAAGATTACCCCTATTATATTTGTAACGTTTCGCACTCATATTTTACATAATTATCCAGTTTGGACGAGATATGAACAGTTAAAACGGTTTTTACTATGAAAGTCTACATCTCACCCCATTTATATATAACTCCACAATCACTTTACCGATTAATTAATGTGTGATTATGTTATCATAAGTCATCAATTTAAGCCTAATTCCACAATCATCACGAGCCAAGTTATGTGGAATCTTGGAATTACTGTGGTCGCACTAATTGCCAAAATCACAGCCCTTCATAAATAAGACAAATATCGAGAAAACCTAAATAAATATATGTAACATGCTATTGGTTAAAAGCTAGATTACTCTTTTGGTGCATTGAAACATTCCTGGAGGATATTGTATAAGTTTTATTATTTGGACGGAGCCACAAAGTTTTGATTCCGATCAATTGAAGAATTGTGATCCAAACCCCATGCACCATAACCAAACTCAATGGTCGCTCTGGGTCTGGGAAGGCCTCCTCAGCAGGATCTTGAAAAGAAAGGTTTGTAATAGTGTGGGACCGTAACAGTGTGGGACCATTTAGAGATGAGGACCATTTAGAGAATGACTAGTGTGGTGATAAGCATTATCGTGATCTATTCTCCAATGAAATGAATGTGGGGCAAGGAAAAAAGTTGGGGGGGGGGGGGAAAGGCCGCAAAGTTAAAGGTGATTGATGGATCTCCATTCCATTTCTGTCTTCACGTAAACAAGTTGTTGCCCACCCGGAAAGAATTTCTATACATATATAACTTTTAGATATGCCTGATATTAACATTCTTGTTTCGACTCTACCTAGGTGAGGTCTGAAACATTTGGACAAGCAACATTTCATAATGCTCTCTTAACGATAGCGATGGAGTGCATATTTTCTTAGTTAGATTGAAGATTTAATTGTTATCATCACTCCTAAGTGTCAAATTGTATTCTATAATTACTTTTGGTTTACACTAGTTAGGATATCTTGGAACACAATGGGTTTGTAAAGTCAAAGTGCATAGATAACTAGATATGTTTCTCAGCACTGTGTATTCGCAGTCGAGAATCGATCCCATGACATTTTAACTGGTCCAGTGTTGAGTTCTTGCTTTTGTCTTCTTATTCTTTGCCAGTATGCTGATGGAACTTTCTTCATGAACTCAGTTATACATTAATATGAACTCATTTACAGTACTTATCCTTGAAAATCGACNGTCACGCCTAAGTGTCAAATTGTATTCTATAATTACTTTTGGTTTACACTAGTTAGGATATCTTGGGACACAATGGGTTTGTAAAGTCAAAGTGCATAGATAACTAGATATGTTTCTCAGCACTGTGTATTCGCAGTCGAGAATCGATCCCATGACATTTTAACTGGTCCAGTGTTGAGTTCTTGCTTTTGTCTTCTTATTCTTTGCCAGTATGCTGATGGAACTTTCTTCATGAACTCAGTTATACATTAATATGAACTCATTTACAGTACTTATCCTTGAAAATCGACTTACAAGATAAAGGTAAACACTAGTAGCATTAAAGTCTAGTCCATACTTAACTGATGTAGGGACCTAATACAATACTACCCCAACTGATATGAAAAGAACTTGATCCTTTGGTTGAGGATAACATTGAGGAAGGAACCTGATGAACATACACACATACATATAGCTAGCTACGTATATTGAAGGAGAGAGGTATACTGAAGCCCATCCACGACTTTGTAGGGATCAAAAAGGTGATTCTGATGCCTTATAGAAGATCCACAAAGAGAAAAAAAAAGGCTTTTAACACTTTGGGGAAAATAAGAAATGATTGGAAAGGTGGTCCCAATTAGTCCCAACAATTAGTGATGAAGTAATGGTAGCCCTTCTGCTGATTCTTTCCTTTGACATGCAAAAATCGAAATAACTTACCAGCTACCCACTTGGACAATCCATTTTGATTCCAAAGTTTTTTAACACATTTTTATTTTATTCAATGTTTTTCTCGAGGAAGTTTTATTTTGGTCACTTCAACCCGTTTTAATATTTATTTTCATTTATGTTGTCATTTAAAAATGAGTAAGACATTTTGATTCTCTTTTGTATTGGTCCCGCCCCATACTTTGATATGTCCATTGTGTATGCCTTTTTTTTTTCTTTCTAGTTTATAGTTAGGGACATCCTATGGTTTGAGATTTAAAACTTATCAAACTTTCAAAATTTCATGGTATAATTATTTAACCAACAAAAAAAATCATGGTAATTTTGAAAATTTGGGATGGAACTCAGTTGGGCTCAATCTTGTCAATCTGAGTTCGACCCAATCTTTGGTGGACCGAGGTGGATAATTTCCAAGCTTGTTTTAGGATGGGCTACAAACAGGGCCAAGCCACATTAGCATGAGATCATGACATGGGTCCATTGTTTGCTGGTGATCATGAGTCATGCGGTCATAATATTCTAGGGAGTGATCNAGATAATTTCCAAGCTTGTTTTAGGCTGGGCTACAAACAGGGCCAAGCCACATTAGCATGAGATCATGACATGGGTATTAAGGAAAAAAAACATGAGTCCATTGTTTGCTGGTGATCATGAGTCATGCGGTCATAATATTCTAGGGAGTGATCTTTTACAGCCATAGTAATATTTTTGGGTTTAAAGCTTTCCATTATTGC